AGTTAAAAAAAAAAAAAAAAAAAGAGTAGACTTTGGAACTAGATCACTTGGGAATGAATCCCAGCACTAGCAGCTACTGTGTGACCTTGGGTACATTCCTTAACTTCTCTGGGCCTTGCTGCAAAATGGTTCTAATATTACTATGTCTCTCATAGGTTCCTTCTGGAAATTAAATGGGTTAATTTTATAAAATGCTTAGAACTACTAAATGGAGTGCTCGCTTCAGCAGCACATATACTAAAATTGGAACAACAAAAAAATGGAGACCAACAAACTAATATTTCTAGTCCATTTCCATTTTTCCATGGAAGTTAAGATATCATGAAAGTAACATGAAATTATCGCCCAAACTAGGAGTGTAAGGGAAGGTAGAAGTGGGGGAGTGGTAAAGGTACCTAGTTGTTATAGATTCCCCTGGAAGTGTATGTACCGACCTTAACATCAAAAGCAGGAGAAGGCTTTCCCATTGAGCCAGGCTTAATTTTCATTCCCTTAAAATTTCCACAGATTAGCACCTAGTTAAGAAGAAGAAAATAAAATAACGTGACAAGTAACATAAAATGTATTCGTTCATCCACCATATTTATTGAGAACTTAGTATGAACTAGGTTCAAAATAAAACAAATTCTCTGCTCTCATGAAGTATAGAGACACTAAACAAATTATATATAATAAAGTTATAACACTTAATAAATTTATAATTGCTAAAATATCCATATTATGAAAACATTTGTACTCATATGAGCATGATACGCTGTTCCTATTTAATTTAATAAATTTGTCAGTTTTAATTTTAATTTTATTTCTGGTATTTTCATTGTTGACCAGGCACTACATTCTTATGGTTTATTAAGTTGAAGCACTGTAAAAAAGATACACTTGGAAAATGTTCTTTCAGCTTTTCCCTCACCTGCTCCATCTTACCCCTCCTCTTTTCTACATAATTACCACTTTTGTTATTATTTTTTTCATTTTCTCCAGGATTTCTTATTCCTATTTCTACAAGCTCTTTAGGTAACCCTTGTTAGGGTATGCTTGTCAAGGCGTTGTCCAGCAAACTCCTACTGTTTTAAGTAATTAGAAACTCAGGATTTTCTATTTTTGAGGCAGCCCTGACTAAGTTCCCTATTACATAAGGGGAAATCTCTCTGTAGCTCTAGTATTTTTTTCTTTTAAAAAATATTTTAATGCCTTTACCTTGGTGAGTTATACAGCAGTTTTTCTCAATGAATGGCTATTTCCATTCCAGGATGTAATGCTAGGCTGTTTAAACAACAACTGTGTCTGTTTCAGAGCTTTTTTGCAACTAGCTTCCCTCAAGCTTTATAAAAACTGCTCTGACCACTCCATTCCCTTCTTGGCCCTCAAACGATCATAGGGATATCAGGAACACTGGTTTCTATTCATCGGACAAAGTAGGACCCAGCCCTGTCTGTCCAGTGAGGTCCCTGTACCGTTTCAGTCTGTCCGTATCCTTCATAGATGTCCAGCCCTGTCCTCCTCTTCCACTGCTCAGTCACGTCAGGGCCGATGGGCTCCCCAGCACTCACACAGTGCTTTAAGCTTCTGAACTTACAGCTTCTCAGAAGACAGATCACAGATTAAATTTAGGAGGAAAAATGGAAGGAAATGGAAATTAAGATGATTTCTAATGAAATGTCAACATTAAGTGTGTTTCAGTTCTTAACTCCCCTCTCCAATACAAAAATAAGCCATTCTAACATTATAAAGTGACTCCCCAAATACCAGTTTTCCTTTTTCTTTTCTCCCTTTTATTTGGGGGGGGTGGGGAGCATGATTTACTGCAAAAAAAAATCCTTAGGGAAGGTACCACACATGTTGATCATATTTAATATTTTAAATCAGGATTAGAAGTTTGCTACTGATCTGAATTGGACTATAATATATTTATACAATGGAATAGTATACAGCTGTAAAAAAGAACACGGAAGTTCCTGGGTGGTGCTGTCCAATAGGGCTTTCTGTTACCATGGAAATTTCTCTAATCTGTGCTATCCACTATAGTATCCTCAAGCCCTGTGTGGCTACTGAGCACTTGAACTATGACTAGTGCAACTGAATTTTATTTTATTTTTTTAAATATATCTTTATTGATTTCAGAGAGAAGGGAGAGAGAGAGAGACAGAAACATCAATGATGAGTCAGTCATTGATTGGCTGCCTCCTACACGCCTCCCACTGGGGATCGAGCCTGCAACCCAGATATGTGCCCTGACTGGGAATCGAACCTCGATCTCCTGGATCCTACGTCGATGCTCAACTGCTGAGCCACGCCCAGCCGGGCTGAATTTTATTTTTAAGTATAATTGACATGTAACATTAAATTAGTTTCAGGTGTACAACATTTGTATATATTGTGAAATGATCACCATAATAAGTTAACAACCATCATCCTACATAGTTACAAAATTATTTTTGCTTGTGATGAGAACTTTTTAAGATTTACTCTCTTAGCAACTTCAAACATGCACTACAGTATAATTAACTATAATATGTAACTGAATTTTTTATTTTACTAAAATTTAAATTTAAACACGTGTGGCTAGTCATCACCACTCTGGACAGCACAGTTCCAGAATGTATTGTTAGGGGGGAAAATGTGCAGAACTGTGTGCACATTATGTTTCCATTTATATGTATAAAAGAGAGGGGGAGAGAACATATGCCCATTGGCTTGTGTACACATAGATTTCAGGGAGGAGAAATGAGACTGAGGACAAGGTTTGGAGGAAGACTTTTAATATATATTCTTATATACCTCTTGAATTTTATGTCATGTGAACTTCTCCTACTCAAACTTAAGTAAAATCAATTAAAAATATTTACCAGTTCACCCTTTCAAATGGAATCAGTGACACCCATCATGTTTCCTGTTTGCTGGGATAGGGTTCCAAATAGGGGTGACTTCTTCCCTTTCTCGGGTCGGGGAACACTCACCATCCACTGGGCTCTCAGGGCTACGCACATGGCTGATCCTGCCCCGGACGCAGTAATTATTATTACAGAATGGAAGCAAGAGGAGAAGAGATTGCTAAATCCCATACCTACCAGTCTGGAACTGTGTTTTTAGGCAGAAAGATCTTTTCTTTTAGAGCTTCCTTTTTGTCTCCCCTGTCCCCATTATGTGCCTGTTTACCAGCCTTTCTTACCTGGTCATATCATTCTGTACAAGCATTCGGTATACAGTTGGCACTGAACAGAAGACAGTGATGGGAAACTTGGAGAGAGTCTGCAATGTACAAGAAGCACTCTTGGTCTTTCTACAACTTTAATAAGTGCCTAAGTGTCTGTGGGAGGCACGGCACAGCTTAAACTTTGTTTATTCTAACATAAATGCACTTGCACCTTTCCTTAGTTTATCTTTTCAGGCTTTTTTACTTCCCAGATGTGAAATATCTTAAATCATGTTGTATTCTGATTTCTGAAAGCGACTCTATGGGACAGTCCTGTCAGTGGCCCTGCTAATGCATCTCTAAATGCTGACCTCTTGTGCTCTGCCTTACCTGCAAGATGCAAGTTGGCTCAAACTGCGGCAAACGGTGTGCAAATACGCATGCTCCCTGGATCCATGGCGAAAACACGCTGCTCCATGCAGACTTTGCCCAGCCTGTGTCAGAGGTATTCCACATCACATCCGAAGGCGTCAAGTCCAGCCAGAACCTGGGAAGACAAAGAATAGCCCTGATCTATTTGGGGCAACAAATCCAAAAGACCAATAAAGGAATCATCACCTTAGCACGTGTTGACACCTCCAGCTGCAGTTCTATGAACATACCTTCCGTTTACAGATAATCCTAAACCAAAACTGCTGTGGGTGTGTGCAGTCATTTTAGGAGATCCTGTCGTCCCGCTGGTGAAGTAAATGGCCATGATCTCATCGTGTTTTGTCGCCACACAGGTATGGTTGTCAGTGGCCTGCCTAGGAAGGAAGAACTGCAGTGATTCTGCAGGTTAAACACCGCAGCACAGACTCAGCACAGAACAGGACTCAAGGACCCATCTACTCGGGGCTCACTCTCCCACTGGTCAGGCCCCCAGTGATTTAGGTTGAATTCAGAAGTAAATGCCATCTCCCTCTCCATCTTTTTAGGTGCTTTGCAGAATTGGCTTAACTGCCATCGATAGCCCGTTTGTAACGGCCCATTTCATAGCCTTTTACTGTGTGATAAAAAACAGTGACAGTATTTTCGAAACTCAAGAGTTTTCTCATACCTGAAGCAGAATGAGGATTCTATGGTGGTGTAAGCATGGATTTGTGAAGAACTGCCTCTCCACCATGGATGCTTTAAAATGTGATTAAAAAAAAAAATTAATGTCTTAAGAGAAGTCTCGGGTAATGGTATAAAGCTGAGGTCTGCAAACTACAGCCCACAGGCCAAATCTGGCCCACCTCCTGTTTTTGTAAATAAAGATTTATTGGAGCACAGCCATGCCCACTCATTTATATATTGCCTATGACTGCTTTCATTCTACAACAGCAGAGGTGAGTAGCTGGGACAGAGACTGACTGCATGGCTTGCAAAACCTAAAATATTTACTATCCACTCCTGTTATAGGAAGCGTTTGCTGACCTCTGAAAGGATTGTTTTTCTCTTTCCCATGAGTCTACATAGTTCTGAATACAGTAAACCCTAACACTTAAGGGGATCTAAGCACCCATCCAGGGATGGAAGGACCCCAGTTAAAGAGAAAGAAAACATTTAGTTCTGAAGGAGAAGCGGGCTGTATGTAAGTCGTATGTTAGGGTGACTGAGGGTAGGTCCGCTTGCACATCCAGTGTCTAAGAAGCATACAGATTTTCTTAGGCCAGGAATGAATGAGTCAGAAACATCCAGGCCATGACAGATATAGAAAAGCTGTTTTCAAAGCCTAGCAGAGCTGGACCAAGTGTTTAGTCTATGATTCCATAATTATCTTCCTCAAAAATAGGTAGTACCTATAGCTGTGTACCTGTCACTTCTATCACATGGCTTCTTTTGAAACCTAAGGCAGAGTTATCATACCAATCTCTCACTACTAGAGGCAGTAAGCAGCACAGACAGGAGTGTAGGCGCAAGCCAGACTGCCTGGGTGGGAACTAGCTCTGCCAGACCCTAGCATTTGACCTTGTTCATCTGTATAATCCCAGTGCCTACACCCTCGCTTATTGTGAGATTAAATGAGTTAATGTATCTCAAGTGCTTGGAATAGTTTCTGACACACAACCAGAGCCAGAGAAATGGCAGCAATTATAACATTATTTTTATTGAAACAGTACTTGGCCTTTGGTGAGAACTCAATCCCTGCTAGCTATTTTAGAGAAGGGGAGTAAGTCCACAGTTGCAAGCATGCTCCCAAACCCTGAGTACAGCATGCTCACACTAGAGAGGGAATCTATTGTCAGCCTGAAGCTGAGAGTAAACCAGCACATGACAAGAGCTCTAAGTGACCCCTGAAGGCATCCCAGCAGGGCTTGGACATCAGAATAATTTAGTTTTAAGTGTTGTTCATTATTGCTTCATTAAGTGTTGTTCTTATAACCTGACAGAAGTATTGATGTCACAGGGAGTTATATACTGTAATCCGTTTTCCTGGGAGCCACTCCCAGCTCTGGTTGATGCTGACACACCTCCTAAATCTGAGGTAGGAATGAAGGACATACTGCCCCAGGTGCTCGGAGCCCTATTTAAAGATGGCCTTGGCTGAAGACAGCTGCCTTGTCCAAGGTCAGGACTCCTTCTAGAGACAGCCCCCGCCCATTGCTGATCAGTCTGCGCATGTCAAGGCCAGGGCCTCTTACTTTAGCTGGGGAGAGCTTTGAGGGGCTATCCAAACTCCAGAAGTCTCAGTGGGTCAGCTGAGGGCTTTTTTGGGGGTACATGGCAGATAAATTTCTTCTTTTGCCCAATCCCACATCTTTCACCTTCCTTCACAGGTGTTGATCCCAAGATAACTCCTTGATAAACTTCTTAATACAACTAATTTCTGTCTTGGGGTCTGCTCCCTGGAAATCCCAAGCTATGAAAAACACCCAAGCTCCTTCCTGCCTCAGAGTGTTGACTGTCAGCACAATGATAATCACCAACTGTTCCCTTTGCCGATCACATCACTCGTGGGTTGAGTGAGTATCTTTTCAATGTTTCCCTTCTTTTGGGGAAGCTGTTCTACAACAATTATGACTACTCACTTCATCATCTCCTTGAGATCCCCCCACCCCTCTCTGGGGTTCTGAGACACAATTAGCTTGGAGTGCAGGTTTTCACATTTAGATGCCACAGCGTCCACTGCTGGGGCCACAACTTCGTTGGTAATAATGCACTTGGCTTTTGAAGACTGCAGTCTGTAGAGGATGTCTTTCTGGGTCAGCTGAGTGGTTCCTGGAATTAAAACTGTACCTAAAGGAGCAGAAGAGAAACAATGTTTGGAAAGAAGGATTTTGTTCATCCTGTTAGTCAGGGTTGTGGAGATAGCCCCGTATATTCTGTATTTCTCAGAATGGCTTCATCAATTTCCCAGGCAAGGTATCTGTCTTCCTTTCATTATTCTGCTTTTGCCTTTCATGGGATCTCAAAGCTATGACCCTTTTGACCTAAAATGAAAGGATGTTAAATGCTGGATGATTATCTTCTATCTGAAGACCATTCATACCATTCAGTTTGAAGAGGGTTTTGATTGAAAAGTATATCATTACCCAGCATTTATTGAGTACTTGAGCGCCAGGTGCTATTCCAAGTGGTTTTGCATGTTTTAACTCACTTAATACTCACCAAAAAACCCAAACACAAAAGCTGTGAATAACTTGCCCAGCATCACCAAAGTAGAAGGTAGCCGTGCAGGGACTGAACCCTGCAGCCTGACCCCAGAGCTAGCTGTGCACTTGACCACTTCATCCCGCGTCTCTTAAAATGTACATGATTGTCTTATGGTTTCTTTCCAAAGGGAAAGATTGACACATGCACCCTTTTCTGTGCTGCTACTGCCACCTGCTGTAAATTGCACTGGAAGGTGAAGTGCAAAGGCTGAGAGTATATCCTGGAGCCAGGTACTCAAATAGGTTGGCCTTGGACAAGCCACTTCATCTCCATGAGTCCCAAGTTCTGCTTTTCTGTTAAATATCTTCTCTTTTTAAACAAGACAATGTAGCAATGTTTATGAGGTTTAACTCCAAGGTTATTTCTTTAGATGTTTCACCTAGGGATAAGCAACTACCTCACACTGCCCATGATTTAAAGGCACTATCAACAAGTCAGCACTTCATGAAGAAGCACATTATTTAAACACATCACCCTTAGATAATTAATTTCAGCCAACATAATTCATATCACATCTTTTTTTTTTCTTTTTTTTAAAGTTTTAGACATGAGTTTGGGGTGCCCATGTACCCATGGTACAGTGGAACTTTCCAGCAAATATAAGGTCTGTCTCCAGCTTAAAAGGGAGGAAACATTGGAGATATGATTTGGGCCCTTAGATAATACACAGCATTGAAGGTTTAGAGTCTCTACATATCATATCTTTAAAAGAACCTATTAACAGTGATCAATCTTACCTATTAAAAATACTTCCTGTCTAATCATTCTGGGAAGCATTACATAGTTTCTTGCCAGGGAGCAAATTGTTACTTTAATAAAAAATAATCTTTCAGCCTGGCCTGTGTGGCTCAGTGGTTCAGCATCGACCCAGGAACCAAGAGGGCACCGGTTTGATTCCTGGTCAGGGCACATGCCTGGGTTTTGGCTCTCTCTCTCCCCCTTCATCTCTCTGAAATCAATTAAAAAATATACACATACATACATAAAAAAGTAAAATAAATAAAAAGAAAGAAAGAAAAGTGGACTATGGAACTCTAACATATAATTTAAATGTACATGAGATTAGAGCATATAATTCTGCAAATGCAAGTAATGATTATAATAAATTAGTAATGGCTACTTAATATGATTTATTATGACAATAGAGATAATTAAAAAAATATTTTGAGGAGCATTTACTATGACAGTCATTGGAGGTCAGAGATGAATATATTATAGGCATTGCCTTTTGGGAGCCTACATAGTCCTATGAGAATGACAGATTTATGAGCAAATAGTATACCCAGACAATATAGTACAGGTTAAACAGAAATACATATTTTTTGGGTGAGCTTAAAAAAGAAAGCACTTGCAGAGCCAGTGCACCTGATGGCCAGCTTCAGACCACACCAAAATACAATCCTACCACATCCATGGGTGGCACACTCAAGGGGCAGACTCAGAGAACACCAAAGTCCCACTGAAGCAAGCCATGCTCCATAGTGGTATCTCCTGCAGAGCTGCTCTTCTGCTGTAGTCACAGCTGATCCTCACAACCAGCTGGCCTGGGAGTCAATCCCTCCCAGTGCCACCAACAGCAATCAAAGCTCAACTACAACAGACAGTGCACATCAGAGTGCCCAGCTCAGGTAAATGGGAAGGCTGAGCCACTGGTCCCTACAGGACACCTACTACACAAGGCCACTCTACCAATTCCAGAAGACATAGCAGTTCTGCCTAATATGTAGAAACAAGCAAAAGGAGGCAGCCAAAATGAGGAAACAAAGAAACATGTCACAAATGAAAGAACAGAAGAAATCTCCAGAAAAAGAACGAAATGAAATGGAAGCAAACTACCAGACACAGAGTTCAAAACAATGGTTATAAGGATGCTCAAGAAAGTTAGTGAGAACTTCAAGAAACTTAGTAAGAACATCAAGAAACTTAGTGAGAACATCAACATAAAAAAGGTACGGTCAGAAATGAAGGCTACACTAACTTAAATGAAGAATAATTTACAGGGAATCAACAATAGAGCAGAGGACACCAAGAATCAAATCAGCAATAGGGAATATAAGGAAGCAAACAACACCCAATCAGAACAGCAATAAGAAAAAAAGAATCCAAAAATATGAAGATAGTTTAAGGAGCCTCTGGGACAACTTCAAGAGGCCCAACTTTCATATTATTGGGGTAATAGAAGGAGAAGAGAGGGAGCAAGAAATTGAAACCCTACTTGAAAAAATAGTGATGAAAACTTCCCCTACCTACTGAAAGAAATAGACTCACAAGTCCAGGAAGCACAGAGAGTCCCAAACAAGAGGAACCCAAAGAGGCCCACACCAAGACACATCATCATTAAAATGCCAAAGGTTAAAGACAAAGAGAGAATCTTAAAAGCAGCAAGAGAAAAGCACTTAGTTACCTACCAGGGAGCACCCATAAGACTGTCAGCCGATTTCTCAACAGAAACCTTGCAAGCCAGAAGGGAGTGGCAAGAAATATTCAAAGTGATGAAAAACATGGAACTACAACCAAGATTGCTCTACCCAGCAAAGCTATCATTTAGAACTGAAGGTCAAATAAAGAGCTTCTCAGACAAGGAAAAGCTAAAGGAGTTCATCCCCCTCCAAACCAGTACTACACGAAATGTTGAAGGGTCTTCTTTAGAAGAAGAAGAAGAGGGATAAAAAAAAATGAACAATAAAATGCCAACAAATACATATCTATCAACAATTGAATCTAAAAATCAAGATAAATGAACAAGGAGTCTAATGAACAAAATAAACTGATGAATAAAATAGAACCAGAGGTATGGAAAAGACTGATGAATCTCAGAGGGAAGAGGGGTTGGGGGGGGAGGTTGCATGGGAAGAAATTAACCAAAGAACTTATATGCATAAATGCATTACCCACGGACACTAGGGTGGTGAAGGCCTGGGGCGGGGTGGGATCCGGGTGGAGGGGGGCAATGTGGGGGAAAAGGGGGGGACATCTGTAATACTCTCAACAATAGAGATTAAAAAAAAGAAGAAGAAAGCACCTGGAGTGGGGCATCAGGGTGGGATTGCTTGAGGAGGTGACATTAGAGCCAAGACTTGAAAGTCTACAAATAGTTATCCAAAGAAAACAGTGTGCATAAAAGCCAGGAGATGGGAAAGGTCACAAACCTCCCAGGAAAATATTTGACACCTAGTATACGGGTGAGAAATGAGAACAATAAAGGGAAGATGGCTAGAGCCTTCCATGATATACGTGAAGTTCAGATTTTATCTGGGAGGCACTAGGGAGTAATTAAATAATGTCAAGCAGCCAATGTTGGGATAAAATGTGTTTTCTAAAAAGAACACTGACTATGGAGATGAACTGGATTGAGGGAGGATATGGGCACATACAAGACAGAATTAGGGAGACTTTGGGGGAAATCCATTCAGGAGATGGCAATGGCAGTAAAACAGGAAAAGACGGACTCTGCAGGGCATGTAGGAAGTCAAATTTACAAGGTGCAGGAACTGACTGGGAGGAGTTGCAGATGCCTGGCTTAGACTCCAGAACAATGGCAATAATCATGAGAGGAATAAAGCCGTGCCACAGGAGCTGGGGTGGGTTGTCTGTTTGTAGTTGCACTGAGTTTTACATGACCATGCTGTTCCTATAGGAGGAGGAAAGCAGTAGGTATGAGGGTATTTAATTGTTTTTTGGGGGTGGGTTTTTTTGGCATTTTGATCAGAATTTAATTGCATTTATTGAACAATAAAGACAGAATTGGCATATAAACAATATTAACATTCCATTAACATAGCATATTTTCTATTTATTTAAGTGTTTTAAAATGTCTTTCAAAATAATATTTTAAAAATTTTCCAGATTTAATGCATATCTTTAGATATATTCCTGGGTACTTATAATTCTGTTGTAATCATACATGTTTTTTATAATTTTTAAAAATTTATCTTTATTGTTGAAAGTATTACAAATGTCCCTTTTTCTTCCCCATTGACCCCCTTCATGCTGCCCCCCCCTCCCCAGGCCTTCACCACACTATTGTCTGTATCCATGACTTATGCATATATGCATGTATGTTCTTAGGTTAATCTCTCCCCACCCCTGACTTCCCTCCAAGATTCATCAGTCTGTTCCATGCTTCTGTCTCTGGATCTATCTTGTTCATCAGTTTATTTTGTTCATTAGATTCCACATATAAGTAACATCATGTGATACCTGTCTTTCTCTGACTGGCTTATTTCGCTCAGCATAATACTCTCCAGGTCCCTCCATGCTGTCTCAAAGGGTAAGAGATCCACAGCTTTTTTATCCACTCATTTACTGATGGGCACTTGGATTGTTTCCAGATGTTAACTATTGTAAATTGTGCTGCTATGAACATAGTGGTGCATATATTCATTCTGATTGGTGTTTCAGGATTCTTAGGATATATTCCTAGATGTGGGATCACTGGGTCAAATGGCAGTTTCATTTTTAATTTTTTGAGGAAACTCCACACTGTTTTCAACAGTGGCTGCACCAGTCTGCAATCCCACCATCAGTGCACTAGGGGTCCCTTTTCTCCACATCCTCACCAGCACTTGTCATTTGTTTATTTGTTGATGATAGCCATTCTGACAAGTGTGAGGTAACCACTGTCATTTTAATTTGTATCTTTCAAATGATTAGTGACTTTGAGCATTTTTTCATATGTCTCTTGGCCATTTGTATGTCCACTTTGGAGAAGTGTCTATTCAGATCCTTTGCCCATTTCTAAATTGGATAGTTTGTCTTCCTTTTTTAAAGTTGTATAATTTGTTTATATATTTTGGAAATTAACCCCTTATCAGATGTATCATTGGTAAATATGTTCTCTCATACAGTGGGTTCCCTTTCCATTTTGATGCTGGTTTCTTTTGTTGTGCAGAAGCCTTTTAATTGATGTAGTCCCATTTGTTTATTTTCTCCTTTGTTTCCCTTACCCTAGAAGATGTATGGCTAACATATTGCTATAAGAGATGTCTGAGATTTTGCTGCCTCTGGTCTCTACTAGGATTTTTATAGTTTTACAACTTAAACTTAAGTCTTTTATCCATTTTGAGTTTATTCTTGTGTTTGGTGTAAGTTGATGGTCTAGTTTCTTTTCTTTTTTTTTATGTACGTGTTCAATTTTTCCAGCACCATTTATTGAAGAAACTGTCTTTACTCCATTGAATGCTCTGGCCTCCTTTGTCAAATATTAATTGAGCGTAATGGCTTGGGATGATTTCTGGGTTCTCTGTTCTGTTTCATTGAGCTATATGTCTGCTCTTGTGCCAGTACCAGGCTGGGTTTGTTTTCGTTTTTGTTTTTAAATATCTTTATTGATTTCAGAGTGAGGAAGGGAGAGGGAGACAGAGAGACAGAGACATCAATGATGAGTGAGTCATTGATTGGCTGCGTCCTGCATGCCTCCTTCTGTGGATTGAGCCAGCAACCCAGGCATGTGCCCTGACCGGGAATTGAACCTCAATCTCCTGGAACACAGGTCGATGCTCAACTGCTGAGCCATGCCTGGCCAGGCTACCAGGCTGTTTTGATTACAGTGGCTTTGTAGTATAACTTGATATCTGGTAGTGTGATCCCTCCAACTTTGTTATTCTTTCTCCATGCTGTGGCTATTCTGGGCCTTTTTTGGTTCCACATAAATTTTTGGAGTAATTGTTCTAGATCTGTGAAGTATACTGTTAGTATTTTAATAGGATTGCATTGCATCTATAGATTACTTTGGGCAGTATAAACATTTTAATGATATTAACTCTACCAATCCATGAACATGGTATGCTCTTCCACTTGTTTATATCTTCCTGTATCTCTTTTTCCAATGTCCTGAAGTCTTCTGAGTACAGGTCTTTTACCTCCTTGCTTAAGTTTATTCCTAAATATCTTAATTTTTTGTTGCAATGGAAAGTGGGATTTTTTTTTTTTTTTTTAGTTTCTCCTTCTAGGAGTTCATTATTGGTGTATAAAAATGCCATTTTTTTCTGGGTGTTAATTTTGAATCCTGCTACATTGCCAAATTCACTTATTAAGTCTAGTAGTTTTTTGGTGGAATCTTTAGGGTTTTCTACGTACAATATCATGTCATCTGCGAATAATGACAGTTTTACTTCCTCCTTCTTTCTAATTTGGATGGCTTATATTTTTTCCTTCTTGTCTGCTCGCTGTGGCTAGAACTTCCAGTGCTATGTTGAATAAGAGTGGTGAAAGTGGACAACCCTGTCTTGTTCTTCTTTTTAAGGGAAATGGTTTTAGTGTTTGCCCATTGAGTATGATGTTGGCTGTAAGTTTGTCATATATGGCCTTTATTATGTTGTGGTATGATCCCTCTATTCCCACTTTGAATTTTTACCAAGAATGGATGGAGAGGCTATTTAACTGTTTGTTGGCATTCACTTAATAAAGCTATAGCATTTTGAAAAACCCACCTACTAGTTTAGGTAAAAAGATATGGCCAATTTCCAACATATTTCTAAGGTTCTAGCAAATAATACTATATTGAGTACAGTAACTCAAATCATTTACCCAAATAAATGTCTCATGATGACTTAGATGTTTTGGAAAATCCCCCATCCAACCTACTTTAAATATGATCAGTTTTCGAACATTACTCACCTGTTCGCAGACAGGCTACATTTGCAAGCCACCACTCTGGGATCCTGGGCAGAATCACAATGACCCGATCTCCCCTTTGCAGGGCACAGGCTTCTGTAAGTATACTGGCAAATTTCCTGGACAAAGATCCCAGTTCCTCAAAACTCCATCTCACTTCTTCTCCATTTCCACTTACCCACCAGAAGGCTGGATTGGAAGGTTTCTTTCCAGCCTGAGGAAAGACAATCCAGTAATAGATTTAAAGTCTGTTATCAAACTAATGGAATATTTTCTCTGAAGAAAATTTACAGGTCATTTGTTAGACTATACATGGAGTTTTGGAAATAATTCTGGAGTTCTTATTTCTAGATGCTGGAAGCCATGTCATTTCTTCTAGCATCTGCCATTTCTTATTTAGCCCAATCCCTTTATACTTATCCCCTTAGTACTGTATCTATGCCTCATGTCCTTGGAGTCACTTTTCACTCTACTCCTTTTTGTTTTGTTTTTGTTGATTTTTTTAATCCTCAACCAAGGATATTTCTTCTATTGCTTTTCAGAGAGAGTAGAAAGGAGAGAGAGAAACATCGATGTGAAAGAGGCACATTGATTGGTTGCCTCCCGCACTCACCCTGATCAGGGGTGGGGATCGAGCCTGCAACCAAGGTAGGTGCCCTTGGCCAGAACTGAACCCGGGACCCTTGTCTGCGGACCTATGCTCTAACCACTTAACCAACCAAACCAGCCAGGGCCCTTTTTGTTGTTGTTGTTGTTGTTTTAAAAAAACTAACCTATAATCATACATTTTTGTAACTCCAGCTTTTTCAACCACAGAACCATTAACATATAATGGTTTTCTGTTGGGGACTGATAATCCTTTTCTGTTGGGGACTGTCCAGTGCATTTTGGATATTTAGCAACATCCCTGGCATCTATCATTAGCACATACTCTCCCTCAAGTCGTGGCAACAAAACGGTCTCCAGACATTGCCAAATGTTCCCTGGGGGCAAAATCACTCCCAGTTAGGAACTATAGACCGGCCCTTGCTACATACCTTTTCCATATGGGTCCATTGGTCCAGGACGTCCTTAGCAAAGTTGAAATACTCTGGAATCTCCAGTTTGAAGTCCTTTTTCATGGACTCATAGTTGGAAAAATTCTGAGGGGTCACTACTGTTCTATAATCTTTATGCAACACTCTCATAGAACCAGGAACTGCTAGGCGCTGAAAACACTTGGAACGAAGTAATATCTCCATGGTGACAAGAGACAGCATCAGTTTTGTTGGATGTTTTAGCACCTGAGGTTTCCTATGAAAACTGACACACATAGAAGACAAGCAAAATGACATATGTTTGTTTCTGTCCTGAAGGTAGCCATACCCCAAAGCAGCAAAGTTTCCTTCTCCCCCCTCCCTCCTTCTCCATCATCATCATCATCATCACACCATTTTCTGAGCACTCACTAAGTTCCAAACACTGTGCTCAGCGTTTTACTTACACATAATTTATCATTAAATCATCAAAGTAATCCTGTGAGGTAGATACTATTATCATCTCTGTTTACAGACAGAGAGAATGACTAGTAAGAAGCTGCTTAGTCAGCTCTGGAGGCCATAATAAAACACCATAGACTGAGGGCTTAAACAACAGACATTTCTTTCCCACAGTTCCGGAGGCCGGAAAGTCCAAGATCAGGTGCAGACCCACTTGGTTCCCTGTTTCTGGTTTGCTGATGGCTGCCTTCTCAGTGTCTTCACATGGTAGAGAAAGAGAGAGCTCTGGTCTCTTCCTCTTCTTATAAGGACACTAATCCCATCATGAGGGTCTCACCCTTGTGACCTCATCTAACCCTAATCACAGCCGAAAGGTTCCCCCTCCAAATACCATCATGTTGGGAGGACACAAACATTCAGTCTGTAACAGGAGCATTGGTTGGATTTGAACCAAGAACCGTCTGGTTCCAGCCCATTCTCTATGTTTGTATTTCTAAAGGAAAGATCTGGGTCACCAGTTACTCTCAGTGAAAGCAAGGGCTAAGTCTTCTCACCTAATCTCTTTGACCTGGATATTTCAAAGTACAGTGGTACATCGGTTTTCTAATGTAATCTGTTCTGGAAGACTGTTCAAGGTCTGAAACATTAGAAAACCGAGGGATCAACAGCCAACAGCTAGGCCTCAGGATCTTGCACTCAGCGGAAGCCATGTGGCGTGTTTGACTTCTGAGGCGTGTTCGAAAACCAAAGCATTTACTTTCCAGGTTTACGGCGTTTGTAAACTGAAATGTTCGTCAATGGAGATGTTCAAAAACTGAGGTACCACTGTAGTGCAGAAATGTCAAGGAGAGTTTTCACTGTGGGGAATTCACAGATGAAGAAACCGAGAGTGGACCAGTACCAATTAGGAACAAAAGCACCGTCATAGATCCTCTAGCTTACAGCTGTTGTTCCCATGCTCCCATTAGGAGCCCATGCTGCTTTCGAGTCAAGGCTTGGAGCTGCACGTGCCAGAGATGTAATGATAGGGCTTCAACCTGTGGGACTTCTGTGGGGGAGGATCCTCCAGGTCACCCAGCCTCCCTGCTTCTGTGGGAAATCATTTCATCACGTTATCATTTACTTGGCTGAGATCTCATAAATGAGGCTGTTAAAAACACAGTTCTAGGGACGTTAGGGTTCACTTCTTTATACTTTCTATAATCTTCCAAATTCCCTACAATGAAACACTACTCTCACAATGATTGAATCATTTTTAACTGCAGTTCCAGCTGTGTGGTGTGTAAGGCAGTGTGGATACATGGAAGCATTTCTGTAGTGACAAACTGCCAAACAATAATTAATAGCAGATGCCAGCCACAAGTTTCACCCTAGGTGGACCTGGCCTTCGGGCACGGTGTTGCTACACTCAGCACATCGGGGGGCCCGGGTGTTTCTCCTGCCCCTCCCACCCATTTGTGTAAGGACCTTATGAGTCAGTGAGCTTGAGCCTTCTAAGATCATCTGGTTTCAGTCTCCTCATTTCCCACCTGCAAAGACAATGGGGCCCCAGAGAGTGGAAGCAAGTTGCTTCCACGTGTCATAGCAGAGAACTAGAACTTCATCATTGGATTGCCATTTGAATGTCCTCTTTATTACAGTTCAATAAGATTTTAATCGAGCAGTGATTTTCAACTCTGCTTATATATTTGAATCACCAGGAAAGCTTTTTTAAAAATACTGATACCTAGGTCTTGGACCAACGAAATCTGAATCTCTTGGGGAGGGGAAGGGAGGCATCATTTTTTAAGGTTTCCTCGGAGGATTCTAATGTGCAACCATAGTTGAGAGTCACTGATATGGAGGCTGGGATCTCTGAACCAGCAGCATGTACCTCACCTGGAGGCCAGCTAGAAATGCATATTCTCAGGCCCCAGTTCACACTTTACCAATGTGGAGGAAAACAGGCCCTCTGCCAGAGTTGTCCCGAAGACTAAATGAGACGATGCCTGCAAAGTGCCTGTCATGGTGCCTTGCAGGTCACTACCTACTAGAACAGGGACTGGCAAACTTTCTCTGTAAAGGGCCAGATAGTAAATAGTTTAGGCTTTGAGGGCCACATAGCCTCTGTTGCGACTGCTCAGCTCTGGTTGGGATAGCCACTGACAATACAGAAACCAAAGGGCATTGCTGTGTTCCCCCAAAACTGGTGTCTGGACACTGAAACTTGAATCTCACGTGTCATGAATTATTCCTCTTGATTTTTTTCAAATATTTTAAAATGTAAAAACCATTCTTGGGTCACAGTCTGCACAAAAACAGTTGGAGGGCTGGATTCGCCCTGGGGCCTTAGTTTGCTGACCTTTGCACTACAAAGTAAATGCTATGAGGATCCAGCCTTGTCTTTTATGTTCATGGTACTATCCCTGGGAATGATAACAGTTTGGTCCTAGGAGGTGCTTAATAAATATATTTTGAGTGAACGAATTACTTTAATTAAGAAGGAAGAACTTCCAGCCAGGCCGGGTGTGGCTCCTTTGATCCAGGAGGTCATGGTTCAATTCCCAGTCAGGACACATGCCCAGGTTGTGGGCTCGATCCCTGGTGGGGGGCATGCAGGAGGCAGCGGATCAATGACAACTCTCTCATCATTGATGTTTCAACTCTCTTTCTCCCTCTCCCTTCCTCTCTCTGAAATCAATAAGGATATATATAAAAAAAGGAAGAACTTCTGGATGCATTTATTTCAGTCAGTTAGGACTACAATAGAGCGTAGCTGTGCCCCCACCACTTTAAAACAGACATGTGCACCATTCACATGTGGGTATTTAGATTTAAATTAATTTAACTACTATTTAAAAATCAGTTCTTTAGTCCCACCAGCTACATTTGAAGTGCTTACTACGCAGCTAGCAGTTACTGGGTGCAGGCGGTTCAGACCTAACGCATCCCTGTCACTGCAGGACATTCTCGTGGGCAGAGCTGCTCTCTACTGATAAGGGCTCACAACTGGAGTGATCAAAACATTAAAATACAGCCCAGCTGGACGTGGCTTAGCAGGTGAGCATCGACCCGGGATCCGGGAGATCCGGGTTCGGTTCCCGGTCAGGGCACATGCCCGGGTTGCGAGCTTGGTCTCGGTTGGGGGCGCGCAGGAGGCAGCTGATCAATGACTCTCTCATCATTGATGTTTCTCTCTCTCTCCCTCTCTCTGAAATCAATAAAGGTATATTTAAAAAACAGTAACAACAACAAAAACATTAAAATACAGGGACATTGAAGGGAAGGGTTCCCAAGATCAGGTTTCTGTAAGGGTTCAGGTTTAGTCAAGTGTTGCCCAACCCTGTTCTTACCTAAGGGCCGTGGGAGGGGAAGTGTCCACATCTCAGGCTCTAGAAAAGGCTGCTCTTTAGAGGGGCATGAACCGCAAGTCCTGGAGCACACTCAGCGGCACAGTCGAGGAAGGCCCTCCCCTGCTGTGTGCTGGCAGGTGGCAGCCTGCACCCTGGCAGCTCTCCCTTCCTATAGGATTAGCATCAGGCTTCCTTCAACCAAAGGAAGAAGTTAAGTAATCAACACTAAGTTTTTATATATCACTTTTCTCTCTTCATTTTTAATTTTTTGGACAATGCTGTCAAGTGGTTCAAGAAGCAGAAAGGTACACAGTGAGGAATCTGCCTCCAGCCCCAGCCTCGCAGCTGCCCAGGTTCATCCCTTCACTCCCACGGGTGCCACTGTTATGATTTCCATGCCTCTTTTCAGGGTTTCTTTATGCTCATTCAAACTCATAGGACTACAGATTCTAATTTCTCAACCACTTTTACTCAATAGGTAGCCTATAATATATGCTATTCTATTCATTAAAAATCTTTTTACAATGACTTTGTGGTAGTCTTCTATATCAGTACACAGATATCTGCCTCTTTCTGTTATTTTTTTAACAGGCGCTTGGCATTCCAATGAACAGCTGCACCATAATTTCTTAATTATCAATTAAGAAAGTCCCCTGTTGATCATCAGTTGTTTCCATCATTTTGCAATTTAGATGCAATTCTGACACTATTTCTTTCATCCGCCACATTTAAACATACATTGAAAAGAAAACTGACCATTCATTCAGACCTTAAAATGAGCTCACCCATTCTGTTCTACCAAAAAGAAAACACTGCCACCCTCCTGTAGAAACTGGAAGACTGCCTTCTCCCAACAAAGTCGTGTTTCTCTCTTTTCAGTGATCTTAGCATCATACAATATCCATTTTCCAGGTTTCCAGTATTCTTTGCTGGTGAAAAAGTTAAGATACCTTTCCTAGTGTGAGCCCAGACCTTTATACTGAGCCCCAGACAACTCTTCCAAGGAAGAGTACCACGGCGGGTCAGATGGGCTCTGAAAGAATTGAAGGTCTCATCTGAAATGCAAGCAGTACGTGCATATAAAGAGAAGTGCTTAAGTATCTCCCTAACAAGTATCCAAGCAACGACAGTGGTTTGGCATATATAGCCTCAAAGCAAGGAGAAGCCCCTACTACTCCCCCCAACCCTAACCCTAACAAGGCCCTGCCACACACTTCTATCCAGGATTTTTGGAGCTTCCCTCGACCACCTAATGCCTTTGCACATAACAGTGAAAAAATCAGTTGCTACTCAGACTCAAAAAATTTTCCCTAAACATTTAATCAAGTTAACACATACACATAAGCTTTTAAAAAGTTAAATGGTACCAAAAGGCTTAAAATGAACAACTCAGCAGCTGCGTTTACAGGTTTGTGCATGTACATACTCCTAGTCACTCACTAAATAATATTAAGCAACAGCTAAGACATTCTAATAGAAACACTTTGGCTGC